TCTTCTTCTTCTTCTTCTTCTTCTTCTTCTTCTTCTTCTTCTTCTTCTTCTTCTTCTTCTTCTTCTTCTTCTTCTTCTTCCTAAATTGAAACGTCCCAGACATTTCAGCCTTTCCTCCTAGGCAAGGTGCTCCAACCCCCTAATCATCTTGGTTACCCTCTTCTGTACTTTCTCTAGCTTTGTGAGGTCCTTTTTGATATAAGATGACCAGAACTGCACCATAGATCTGTACAGGGACATTGCAATATTGGCTGTTTTACGTTCAATCCCTTTCCTAATAATCCCCAAGATAGAGCTTGCCTTTTTCACTACTGTGGCACACTTGGTTGATGCTTTCATGGAGCTGTCCGCTATGACCTCGAGATCTGTTTCCCTCTCGGTCTCAGCAAGCTCAGACCGTATTAGCCTATACTTGAAGTTGGGATTATTATTTTTTTGTCCCAGTGTGCATCATCTTACACTTACCTATGCTGAACTTCGTCTGTCACATTGTCGCCCACTCAGCCAATTTGCAGAAATCCTCCTGGAGTGCTTCACTGTCTCTTCACAATCTCAGGTTCAGCTGCCCTGAATCAGGCGCAGTACAGAAGGCAATGTCTGCTCGCAGGGCTGCAGTCTGCAACCCATGTCTTCTTTCTTTTTTTAAAAAAAATGGCTTTGTTTTCATGCGCACCGCCAACGAGATGTTCTGGTAATTAATTCTGTGCAAAAATTACAGGGAAAGCAGATGACAGGGGGGAGCAAAGAAAGTCCTTCACTTTTCATGGACGAAAGCATTAAGTCCTTTGGTCAAAGGTCTTCTGATGCATTATACTCAGTGGCAATTAAGAGTTCCTAATAATAAGCCGGTTGTTTAGCAGTGATGTAAAACATAATGTACATAATGATAGGGTGCCTGGCCCGAGAGGCTGTGGTGGAATGGTTTGGTGGGTGTTTAACTCCGTAATAACAAGGTAAGGGTCTGATGATCTGAAACCCCTTAATGCTGACTGACAAGGACTGAACTTAATGAATGGTATACACAGATAGATGTTATTCTACCAAATAATGCCATAACACCGATGGCCAATTAAGACAGCCTTTACTGTTATTTTTTTTTCCTGTGGGGAAACTACAGCAGGGCTTTGTTTGTTTTAAATCACAGATGTAGGCTTTAAATGACCATTATAGGCTATTCATAGGCTTTTTAGAAACTTCTAATTATTGTGAAAAATATGGTGAGGCTAATAAAATGAGCATGTTATAGTCTCATAAAATAAACAGTGGGCAGGGAGAACTGAAATCCTGTGGTCCTTCTCCAAATCTGGTTTAGGCTCCTGCTGATCCTGATACTCCACTCTCTGTAGTAGAACATAAGAGACGCCAATGTTGGATCAGGCCAAAGGCCCATCCAGTCCAACACTCTGTGTCACACAGTGGCCAAAAGTACCAGTGCCATCAGGAGGTCCAGCAGTGGGGCCAGGACATTAGAAGCCCTCCCACTGTTGACCCCCCCCCCAAGCACCAAGAAGACAGAGCATCACTTGCCCCAGAGCCCCTAGCTATACCTTGTGGCTAATAGCCACTGATGGACCTCTGCTCCATATGCTTATCTAATTCCCTTTTGAAGCCGTCCATGCTTGTAGCACCCACCACTTCCTGTGGCAGTGAATTCCATGTGTTAATCACTCTTTGGGTGAAGAAGTACTTCCTTTTATCCGTTCTAACCCGACCGCTCTGCAGTTTCATGGAGTGCCCACGAGTTCTTGTATTGTGAGAAAGGGAGAAAAGTACCTCTTTCTTTACCTGCTCTTTCCCATGCATAATCTTATAAACCTCGATCATGTCACCCCTCAGTCGTCTTTTCTCCAAGCTAAAGAGCCCTAAGCGCTTTAACCTTTCCTCATAGGGAAAGTGTTCCAACCCTTTTATCATTCGAGTTGCCCTTTTCTGCACTTTTTCCAAAGCTATAATATCCTTTTTAAGGTGTGGTGCCCAGAACTGCACACAGTATTCCAAATGAGGTCTTACCATTGATTTATATAGGGGCATTATTATATTGGCTGATCTGTTTTCAATACCCTTCCTAATAATCCCCAGCATAGCATTGGCCTTCTTTATTGCAGTCACACACTGTCTCGACATTTTCAGTGAGTTATCCACTACAACTCCAAGATCTCTCTCTTGCTCAGTCTCTGCCAGTTCAGACCCCATCAATGTGTATTTATATTTAGGATTTTTGGCTCCAATGTGCATCACCTTGCACTTGGTCACATTGAACCCCATTTGCCATGTTGACGCCCATTCGCCCATCCTTGACAGATCCCCTTGGAGTGCCTCACAATCCTCACTGGTTTTCACCACCCTGAACAACTTTGTATCATCCGCAAATTTAGCCACTTCACTGCTTACTCCCATCTCCAAATCATTAATGAACAAGTTAAAAAGCAGTGGACCAAGTACTGATCCCTGTGGTACCCCACTGCTTACCACCCTCCACTGAGAAAATTGCCCACCTACACTCACTCTCTGTTTTCTATGAACTAGCCAGTTTTTGATCCATAAAAGGACTTGTCCTTCTATCCCATGATTTTTGAGCTTACTTAGGAGCCTTTGATGAGGAACTTTATCAAAAGCTTTCTGGAAGTCAAGGTAAATAATAAGGTTTGGATTAGTAAGATGTACGAGAGCATACTAGAGACCCCTTCTCCACTCCACCCTACACAGAATTAATTATCCATTTGACCAGTCAAAAAAAAAAAAGATTTGATCCATTGATCAGCCAAATACTGATAATATAAAAAGCAGCAAATATCATTTTGAAAAATAAATAAAAGCCAAAATAAAGCAAAGTTACAGCAACTGATTTTTAAAGGCAGCTTTTAAAAGAAGAAGAGATTGGATTTATACCTCGCCCTTCACTACCCAAAGGTGTCTCAGAGCGGCTTACAAACTCCTTTCCCTCCCTCTCCCCTCAACAGACACCCTGTGAGGCAGGTAGGGCTGAGAGAACTCTGACAGAAACCACTCTTTTTCAAGAAAGCTCTTATCAGAACTACGGCTTTCTCAAGGTCATCCAGCAGTTGCAAGTGGAGGAGTGGGGAATCAAACCCGGTTCTCCCAGATTAGAGTCCGCGCAATTAACCACTACACCAAACTGGCTCCTGTGGGCACCTTTGGAATTCTGACATAGGATGGTGGCAGCAACCACAAAATGGGTGCCTCAAAATGGTAGGGTAGGCACTCGGAGAAGCCTCAAAAAGGAGTTCGGAGATGGAGCCCCACCACCAATAAAGACATTTCTCTAGTTCTCACCTACCTCACCTCTACAGGCAGAGTCACAAACATATATACATTCATACATTCATACAAATATTTTTGTTGTTGTTCTTGGTTGTTTACAGCTTACATTCTCTTCTACACTTTGGACAAGAATTCTCCCATCGATGACTGGGTAATGGAGTCCATCAGCGGTGACCGGCTTACCCATCAAATCATGGATCTCAATCTCGACACCGTCTATTACTTCAGGATACAAGCCCGTAATGCCAAAGGAGTGGGTCCTCTCTCAGACCCTATTCTCTTCCGGACTCTCAAAGGTTTGGATTTGTTACTTAGTTCCCTAGATGTCAATTGGATTGTTAAGGAGTCTGGCCATAGTTCAAGGCATGATTCTGAGTTCTGACTTCCGTAAGACCAAACAGCAATCTTCTGGAAAGATGATAAAGTGGGTTTTTTGCCATAATGGATCACTGCCAGAAAAACCATAAACACCAGCCCCGGATACAATGGCGGTTCAAAAGTGGTCCAATCATATTTCAAATCCACAAAGCGACGGTATACATGGCAAACAAAAAATGAGAAGAAGGGTGTGAAAACGGGTCAGTTACTGCATCATCAGAAATGGAAACGTCTTTGACCGTTGTTTCCTCCAGCTAGGCTTCTGTTCATTCCCCGTATTGATTTCTTGCAAATAAGAAGCTGGTAAACGATTCATTAATTAAGGTTAATGGAGGTTCAGAATGGTGGGCTTCTCTTTTCTTGTTTGTTTGTTCTTTTACACATTAAAAAGTAATAAGTGCAGGATTGTTTTATGAACAGACCCAGGGTTTATATTAAAAAAAAAAAATGAACAGACCCAGGGTTTATAAAATGTTGTCCAGGTAACATTATCTCCACCCTTTGTGAAGTAAGTCTTTATGTCTTGACTTGCTGTTAACTGATCTTTAAGTCTGAGCTTTAGACCTTTTAATTTTTTGAACTGTGTCCCTGAAATCCCAGGAGTTCTGTAGAAGCTTACCAGGCACAATTGGTAATGGTGGATAAACTTCCCTGAAAGACGACCCATGATGGTCGATTGTGAGCGGCCACAGGCGAGTTTTGTTTGTCCTCTAGCTTGTACAATTATTATTTTTTTCAAGGCACATTTTCTGCATTTTCCTTGCTTGTAAGTTCCTGTTTCTTCAGGGGAAGGGCTTTTTTTGTTTGTTCCTCATACCTTTTGCTCCCTCTAGTGGTCAATTCGATGTTACATCACTTTATGTCTGGCAGAAACTGTGAAATTGCAGGGAGATATGCCAGACACAAGGGGCCACAGTGGCTCAGAGGTTAAGACGCTGAAGCTGCAGACCGGAAGATCTGTTGCTCGGCAGTTTGAGACCCTAGCGCTGTATGTGAGCTCCCATCTCTGACCCCAGCTCCTGCCTACCTAGCTGTTTGAGAGCACGAAATTGCAAGTAGATAAATAGGTACCACTTTGGTGGGCATGTAAAAGTGTTCCGTGCACCTTGGTGTTTAGTCATGCCGGCCACATGACCACGGAAATGTCTTCGGACAGCGCTGGCTCTTTGGCTTGGAAATGGAGATGAGCATCGCTCCCTACAGTCAGATTCGACTGGCTTTTGAGCAAGGTAAACCTTTTCCTTTGCCTTTTATGCCAGACACAAATGGGCGTGATATCAAATCAACCACTAGAGGGAGGAAAACATATATGTGGAACAGAAAAAGAAAGAAACAGGAAGCTTACAAGCAAGGAAAGTGAGAATGTGGTAATGTCCTAAGCCAATCAACTACCTGGGTGGAATGGAATAATTTAACCCTCCTCTTTAAATGGAGATCAAATATCTGGTGAGCATCCAAGAAGAGGGTGCTCTATAAGCAAGAAGCCTCTACAGAATTATTTATGCCATGATTTGTCTCCAGAGACTTGCTTGAGGCGTCTTACTAACTAAAAACAGCACAATAATGAAATCATAAAAACAACAGCCATAGGTTTCTTAATGTTAAAACAAGCCATTAAAAAAACATGAACCCATCAGGGGCATAAAAACAACATCAAAACAAGTATTTAAAATGGCAATGATAAAACAGTTCTCGGGCTAGCAGCAGCCCCACAACAAACAACAGCTAAAAACACTAGCCTTCTCTTAAATTTTGTATTTATTTTATTATATTTCTATCTCGCCCTCCTCGTGAACAGGCTTAGTGTGGCTCACAATTAAGGGCACCATATGCCAGGTATATAAAACATATGAAAACATATAAAACAAGATAAAAACAACCATATTACAATTAAAGTGGTCAGTGATGTTAATCCTTCAGACGAATTTAGATGGCGTACTGTAGATGTAACACAAAGGCTGATTTTGCACTAGACCTGCCTCACGGTTGCGCCGCCGTTTGCCCCGACACTATTGGTCAATTTCACACCCGAAGTTGCGGGACTGCATTTGAACCACGGCTTCGCCCGATTTCCTCCGCAGTTTCGTGATCCTCAAAAAACAGGATCACGAAACTGCGGGGGAAATCGGGCAAAGCCGTGAGTCAAAATGCACCCCCGCAGCTTCGAGTGTGAAATTGACCAATAGTGTCAGGGCAAACGGCGGCGCTACCGCGAGGCAGCTCTGATGCAAAATCAGCCAAAGTCCCAGTTCAGTGGTGACCGATCCATCATGATGCTGTAGCTCAATCTTCATAACGGGCCAACCCACTACCCCGTTGTTACTAACAATAATAGTTGGTGGTAGTGGCGCGGCTCTTAATTAAAAGCCTGGCGGAAGAGCTCTGTCTTGCAGGCCCTGGTGGGTGAGGTTTTTGGACTGGCGCCTAAATGACAGATAAGGAGGCATCAAGAGAACTTCAAGGGGTGCATCCCACAGGTGAGGGGCCACCACTAAAAAAGCTTTGTGTGTGGTTGCCATCTCGCCCACCTTTCTGCAGTCTGGAAAGCAGAACAGAGCTTGGACAGAGGATCTTAAGTGGCAGGCTGGACACTATGCGACCATCTTAGTCCTTCAGATGCTCTGACCTCAAGCTGTTTAGGGTCTTCAGGGTGAAAACCAGCACTTTGAATTGTGTTCAGGAGGCGCAAATGGGCAGCCAGTGCAGATCTTTCATACCATCCCTGTACCCCATAACAACAATCACATAATCATAAGTTACAAGTGACACAACAACTGTGCAAAGTGGTGTGATAGGAAGACTCAGATATCTCATTAATCCTAAACAATTAGTTGAACTAAGAAATGCCTATCTTGTGTCCTTTATGCAAGATATCATCAAACTCATTGGGGAGATGAGTTTTAGGCATGAGCATCAGGAGATATATTTAGAATGATTCGGTGAGCTTGCCCGTTTTGTTCCCACTTCTAGCAGCCTATGAGGTCTATGTCTGATACTCTGACATGAATGTTTAATGCCACTCACCCTAAATATGTCATGTTCAATATCATTCAAGCAATGTTTTTTTTTCCCCTGATAAATCTTCCTCTACATCTAGGGTGCAAAGAGCTTGTGATGTCTGGCATGTGTTCTAAATTACGTAAAAATATTGGATCCTTGCCCTTAATAATGATTAAGTTGCTGTGTTTGGTGTCCTGTGGTAGGATCTTTTTCCAATAGATCTATACATATGTTACACATATGGCTTACAAGCAATGCTCCCTCTAAGCTGTGGAGTCTTGTGAGCAAAGATTCTACTTTGTGAGCTCCTGGCATTAAAGTTGGGAGCGAGCGATTTGGCTACTGCATAAATGAGTTTGCTCTGGAGCCCTCCTTCCTGAGCTAAGGCAAAAACGTATGAGCGGGAGGCTAAAAAACTGTGAGCCCAGCTCACACTAACTCAGCTTAGAGGGAACACTGCTTACAAGACATTTAATTTCAAAAGGAACAACACAGGCATCAGATGTCAGCCTTGTCCTTAGAAATTTGTCGTAATGCACTACATAAAATTATTTCATAAACTTTAGCACTATTTAAAAGTTCACCATGTTTTTTGGCTGCATTCCTTAGCAGGAACTGTCTTTACTAATTAAGCAACGCAACAGGGAGAATAATTGGTTAGGACTTCAGTGCTGATGAAATAGGGTTAATTTTCTCCAGGGCATTTGCTTAATGCAAATTCCATCCTCCCTAGCCAGGAGTTGCTGTCCCACAGGAAAAGAGAAAGGGACATGCAAATGCTTACATGTTTTCCAGGATGGATCAAAAAGCAGCTTTGGGGGAGAGACAATATGTATGGGGTAAATGGTGTTAGAGTGCCTATGCAGCAGTCAGGACACTGAACTGATTAAGAGTAACAAAAGCTTTATTTGTGGAACTAATAGACTGGATAGGAAATGAGATAAACCTCGCTGTCTTACTATGTGTATGAGAGAGAGAAAGTTCTAGACTGTTTTAGAAGAAAAGCCTAAGAATAGCATTCTGCAGACAGACAAGGAAAAGCTTTTTAAGGAAGAAGGTGCTCCCCCTACAGTCCTGTCTAGCTAGACCTTGCTGCCTCCTTGCAGGGTCTTCTTTCCTCTTCTTTGTATGTACAGCATTGCTATATTCCGATAGAAATAGTTCCAGGGAGCAGAGTTCAACCCCCATGTTAGGGTTGCCAAGTCGTTTTTCAGCCGCAGCGGGGGACTCTCGGGCGGCGACTGGAGCATAGAGTTTCCCCTCCAATGGTTGTGGCCCCGCCCCCAGCGTGCCCGGTGTTCTAACGTCACTTCCTGGTGACGCGCACGTCGGGGTGGGGTTCCCCCCAGGGCCCGATCCGCCACCGGTGGGGAACGGGCCTCAGGGGCAGGGGTTTCCTTGGCAAGCCTACCCCATGTGGTTCTGACCTCATTCCCATGTATGATGAGCATGGGAATTCTGATCACATATCTCCTTGGATATGGCCTACAATTGGCTGTAGTGCACATTAAAATAAGATGGTGCATGGTTGCATAGTTAAGTGCTCTGCCCATGGCAGACGTCACACATAAATCGGGTCTTCAGCCTCATACCTTTGCTCACTATGTGTGAATAATCATGGTGGGCTCCATTCCAGCATTTTTATAAGGATAGCTAAGATCATGTATGCAAAGTGCTACCCAAATCCATACCCCATATTTTTCTCCAACGGGGACCCAAAGTAGCTTAAATCATCATTTACTCCTCCTCCATTTTATCCTTATGACAGGTTTTCCCACCATCTGATTTTCCTTGCACGTGTGTTCCTTTTGCTTCCCTTTTCCCTTCTGTCCCACATGTGTTTTGCTCCCTCTAGTGGTCAGTCCGATATTACATTAAGTTATGTCTGGCATATCTCCCCGCAGATCTACACTGCAGG